AGAGGGAGAGAGGGAGAGAGGGAGAGAGGGAGAGAGGGAGAGAGATAGAGAGATAGAGAGATAGAGAGAGGGGAAGAGAGTGAGAGTTAGAGAGAGAGAGCCACAGATTATATTACTACTAATAGCCTATATTGATTATAATATATATATTGAGAATTGATTATATAACTTACTATAGCTCCCCTCTCTCTTCCTCTATATCGCTTCCATCCTTTATGATGCAGTACAGATGCGTACATTGTGATGCTACAGATTATATATTACTAATAGATTATATTGATTATATTGATAATTGATTCCATCTGATGCTGCAGGAGGAAGCTGAGCGTAATCGCGCCGAGATCGACGTGCCGCGCGAGAAGATACGCCAGCGCTACCTGGCGGAAGAGCAGTTACGAGCCGAGAAGGAAGAGGAGGAGGCGCGCCAACGCGAGGAAGTGGAGAAGGCCAGGGCCCCTCCTCCGTCATCCGCGAAGAAGCGGGGCAAGAAGAGCCGATAGATTTGTTTGCGAAAGAACGTTGGCGGGAACTTTTCATGTTAACGACTGTAAAGCTGGATACCTGTCAATCTGTACACACGTATACTGTTGTGGTTATGTTCCTTGAGTGATAGCTATATATCCTCTATAATATTTATTCAGACTTTACCACTTGTGTAATTCCATTGTTATGCGATTTGTACTTTTGATATATAGGTAAAAGATTATAATAAACATCGTTAAGTTAATTCATGTCTGTGTTTGTTTTATTTTAATGAGCATAACATATATATTATTCTTTGCCTGAAATGCATTTTTAGTATTTTATGTGGTTCAGTGATAAAAACCTGAAGTTTCTTTCACCTATATTAAATAATGGCGTAATTCTTGGACAATGTTTATTCTTGGACACCTCATTGGCCTCAAATTCAATACGTACACATGGATTTATTACCTCTGCGCAACGGAGTTGCAGGGAGGTAATCAGGTAATGTAATCGCTCTCGTGTGTGTGTTCGTGTGTGTGTGTAGCGTTGGTGCAATCGATTCAGCAATAGCTCGCCTTAGGGCGTACAGTCAGCAGCAGCTCGCCTTAGGGTGTCCAGTCAGCAGCAGCCAGCAGCGAGCCAGCTGTTATACACATGTACGCTCGCGGAGGTATGCACTCTCTTAGAGTGCCCTCTGTCTAGTTTAGAAAGTGGCGCCAAGGTGACGTCACAACATGACGTCAGTGAGAGCACTTTTTGCATATTTACATGATCCCATTTAACTAGGAAAGAAACATCTTGTTGTTGCCCTCGTCATCAAACCGATAGCAGTGAAAACATTAAAGCTGAGACATTTTTTTCCTTTGCTCGAATAAAAATATCAAATTGTTTGCATACACAGTTGCCAGACAACTTTTACTATATAATGAAATGAGATTTCTTTTTACTAAATATTACCTCAAAATTGAGTTGTATTATCTTTTGCTACAAATTCCAAATGCAAGTCAAATTTAGCTCACGCGTGAAATATATCGTGCTGATACATCAGCTATCGCATAGTTCGGTTACCCGATTACGCGTTTTGGTGTACACCGGTTGCAGCTTTCAAAAT